TTCTGCTGTGGGATCAGGAATTCTACATGCTAGGTGGGGCAAGGGGTGGCAGAGGGACCTGTGGAACCGAGGCCTGGATCTGCCAAAGGGAGTACTCCATCATCAACTCCAGCTGAGTGCTGTCGGGAGGAAATGGGGGCCTAGGGTGGCCAGATTCTTCCATTTCGTAAAAGAAGCCAGGAATCCGAAGTTTAAAATGTAAAATCTTTTGCTTTTTATACTGGGGATGCCAAAAAAATGTATACACGTGGACACTTTGGTCAATGTTGCTCAAGCAGTAGTTCGCCATCATCAGAAGTGTCTGGACGCTGATGGTAACCACTTTGAGCACCTCTTGTAATTGCAGAAGTCAAATGTGATTTGTATTCATCTTTTGTTATCGGTATATATTGAGTATTACAATTTTAATAGTTTTTTCCTTTCTTAAAATGTGTATACATTTTTTTGGCACCCTCTGTATATGGGCAAATACTTCACCAAAAACAAATGAACAGACCATAAACAACACAAAGCAAAACTTCTGTGAGTCAAATGTAGCCCATGGGCTGTTAGGTGTTGTCCTTTGGCAGGAATGCACGTGTGCTGTCTGTCTGTGCAGGTGTGTGTTCAGGTGTCGGGTGGGATAGCTCCGCTTTGGGCAGAGAGTGCCCCCTTCTCCCCTCCCCCTTCAGCTCCCCTTCTGGGGTCCTCATCCAGGTCTCCCACACCATCCTCTACTTACATGAAGGCGTTTGGCTTTGCCTTTAGTCGTGGCTTTCAAATATGCTTCCTCTCAGTCCCTATCCATGCCTCCCCTGAAAGCATCAGATTCCTCCCTGGACCTCTAGCCTCCACTCTTCTTCTTCTAATTTGTCCGTCCTCCACTCAGCAGCCAGAGAGGGCTTTCTGAAACACATCTAGGCAGATGTGAGTATTTCCTGCCCCAATACCTTGCCTCTCATCCTCTGAGGTCTGGCTCAAATGCCACCAACTCGCAGAGGCTTCCCTGACTTTCTCCTCTTTGTTCTCAGACCCCCCCCACACCCCTGTCATCTCTACCCACCCACCCCTCCCCCCTGCTCCCAGTCATCCGCATTTCATCACAACAGTGTCCACTCATTGAGCTGGCTGGGGCCTTACATGCATTATTTTATGAAATCCTCACATCAACCCTGAGGGAGGCATTTTGTTTATTTCCATTTAACAGATGAGAAAATTCAGTGTGGAGAGGTCTTATCACTTGCCCAAGCTCAAGTGGTGTAGCTGGGATTTGAACCGGATAGCCACTGTATCTAAATTCCCTTGATCATCATAATAGCTCATCACTGATACTTACTGAGCACTTATGGTTATGAGTGCTTTATATGGGTTATCTCAAGCCCTACATCAGGGAGTGGTAGTAGTATTGCCATTTAGTAGATGGGAAAACTGAGGCCCGGAGAGGATAAGTGAATTGCCCAAAGATGGCCAGTGGTGAAGCAGGATCCTAGCACAGATTGGATTGCACTGCTGTCTTTGTCCTTTTCCCCGCCTCCATCTCTGGCAGGCACCCCAGGTGGGAACTGCGCCTGACTCACCTGCCGCATGGCTCGGGGCCCAGCGTGATGTCCAGCAGCAGCAGGCTCTTGGTAGAGGTTTGCTCAATTCGACTGACTTTCTGTTTTCTCTTCCAGCTGCCAAGGGGCCAAGGGATGAGCAGGGGCCCTTCTTCCTAATGGCATCTCCCCCTGGTCTGGAACTGAAGACGCTGAGCAATGGTCCCCAGACCCCAAGGAGACCAGCTCCTCTGGGCCTGGTGGCCCCATCCAAGGATGGTGTAGAGAATGCCTGCTTCTCCTCAGAGGAGCATGACACCCATTTCCAGAACCCTGGGGATGCCAGACTGGGCAGCTCCCCCAGCCCTCCTGGGGGTGTCCCCTCATGGCCCCAATCCCAGAGGGACGATCTGTCCCTGCGTTCAGAAGAGGGGCCAGGCCTGGAGCCTGTGAGCCGCCCGGTGGATTATGGCTTCGTTTCTGCTCTGGTTTTCCTGGTCAGTGGGATCCTCCTGGTGGTGACAGCATACGCCATCCCCCGCGAGGCCCGTGTCAACCCAGACTCAGTGACAGCGCGGGAGATGGAACGACTAGAGATGTACTACGCCCGCCTGGGCTCCCACCTGGACAAGTGCATCATCGCGGGCCTGGGGCTGCTCACAGTGGGCGGCATGCTCTTGTCTGTGCTGCTGATGGTCTCCCTGTGCAAGGGCGAGCTCTACCGCCGGCCCACCTTTGTCCCTGGCAGGGGCTCCAGGAAGACATATGGCTCCATTAACCTGCGCATGAGACAGCTCAATGGGGACGGGGGCCAGGGCCTGGTGGAGAACGAAGTTGTCCAGGTCTCAGAGACCAGCCACACCTTCCAGGGGCCTTAAGGAGGGGCCTGCCTGATCTGGCTGCTTCAACTCCAGGGCTACAAGCCCCCCCAAGGCCTGGGGTTTCAGACTGAGCTCCACACAGGGCCCTGGGGACGGAGTGTTGGGTGCTGGAAGGGGAGCCAGGAGCCGGGCTCAGGCTCCACAGGGGGGAGCGGCCCCCTGATGTGTTTTGTAGCTTGAGGTTTTGCATAAGGTTTTGTTTGGAGGATGGCTTCTGCTGCTAAAAATACAAATGTTTGGAAACCGCTGCCCATGGAGGATGAGGTTTCTTGGCATTTCTGAGGATTGAGAGCAGTTTGAAAGGCTGCCCGTTCTGTTCCTTGTGCCTTTGGGAATTCCGGGATCTCTGCCGTCCTCATCAGCCAAGTATGGGTGTTGGGAGACTTTGGAGGGACCCCTTTCAGCCCTGACCATCTAAGGTTGGAGGTAGCTTCACGATGAGGGAGAAAGTCAGCACTGGGGTGACCCCCCCCCTCCAGACCTCAGTCCCCCTGACTGAGAAGTGAGGGTTGGACTGGACGATCCCTGGGGTCCCTCCAGTTCTATCCTAGGAATAGGCACCCGGCGTGTGCCTCTGGCCACTCCTTCAGGGGACTGGGGTGTCCGGCAGGTGCTGACCATTCTCCATTCCATTTTCTGGCTCAGCCTTGGCCACCACTGTCAGACAGTCAGCAGCTTACATGGTCCTGCTGTAGAGTCCCCTAAGTCCCCTGGTGAGGCCTGGTTAAATCCAGAGTTTGCTACAGCCTGGTTTTGGTCTTGGGATCGAATTTCCTGCAGTGACTATTTCACAAAGTCAAGTGCACAGTTTTTACCAACTCCCTGAACAAGAGGGGTCGTTTATACAAGAAAGGGTGAGGGCTTGGTTGTCTTTTTATGGACACGATGTGGGCCTGCATCACCTCCCCCTCCTCAATAGCGTGTCTCTTGGGTCTGACTTCATTCTGATAGCGGAAAAAAATTTTTTTTCTTTAATGCTGAATTTGCAACCTCCCCTCACCCCCCTTCTTAGCAGTAAAGTGCAGTCCCCAAATATTTGGGGAGAAATCAGGCACATTCCGGTGGCCTGGAAACTCCAGCCACATTGATCACAGTTCGTTCTGTTTCTCTTGTGCAGTGATTCCAGGCTCTATCCAGATTCTTTTTAAACTACGGATGAGGAAGGGAAGTGGGTCCTAGTGAGCAAGAAGATAAAGGTGTTTGAGGACTGGGGGAGGCATTGTCCAGTCTGAATGGCCCTAGAGGGCTGCGAGAGCACATGCCTTCTAGGCTGCTGATGTGAAGACTCTAAAGGGGACATTTCAGTGAGACCCCTGACCCCATGAAGGTCCCACTTACTCCATCTCAGATGGCCATATGCCATGGATCCTAACTGTCTCTTGGGGGTGGGCGGGTGGGGTGGGTGGGCATGGGGTCTGTAGGCTAGAGCAGCTCTGATTAGCTGTAACCTGAGCCTTCAGTCTGATGAGTGGAATATCTGGGCGGTGTAACATCACAGCTTATGACAGATCAAATAGCTGCTCCTGCTGGCAGGTTTTGCCAGGAGCAGAGGGCTGGAGGAGGGCTGGAGGGGACAAGGACTGTTCAGCTTGGCCTGCCAGGTATTGTTCCTGGCAGGGTGTATTGAAGGGGGCGTGGTGTGAGAAGAACAAAGCCTCAATATAGTGAAAGATTCATAAGTCAGAGGTTTCACTGATGTGTCAGTTTCTTCCAGCTCCACCCCAAGGAGTGAATGCAGAACGTGGCATGAGCCTTGCTGGGGAAACTACAGTAGACGTGAACATCCCAAAGGATGAGCTAAGGCCTTTCAAATCCATAATGATAATACAAACGTCAGTCCAGGCCGCATGGATTACTGTGATGGCAGGGGACTCGTTTGGAGACTAAACCTGTTGAGTGGATGCATCTGGGACTATCAGTTCCTAGAGTTTAAATGCAATGAATTGTATTTAGGGGCTAAATCAGTGAGAAGATTAAATCCCAGGAATCTCAGGTTTTCGCTAAACCAGAGAAGCCTGCTTTGCATCCTAATACAGAAACTCCTTTAGAAAATGTGTCTAATGGATCGAGGCAGTCATTACCTTCTCAGTGAATTAAGAAAACTTGAGAAATGCCAAAACAGTTTCCCAAGATTACAGCTGAGATCTCCCAGTCAGTGGGTCAGAAATGGGATCAGCAGTGTGTCTGGGAGAAGTGTGGTGTAAGAAAGAACTTTCTTCACAGGCTTTTTTTTTGGAGTAGGTGTGGAGTGATCCCATGGAACCCTGTGATCGCTGGAACATGCTTCACCTCCAGGAACTGTCTCTCCCACCCAACATGCTACTAGGGTCCCCAAATCTTGCTTTTCCTGGTGCATTAGAACAGATGTCAATTTGGGAGTTAGGAAAACCTGGGTTCAAATCCAGGCTCTGCTGTTTCCTGGCTGTGTGACCTCAGGCAAGTTACTCCATCTCTCTGAGTCTCTTTTCTTCAACTGTGAAGTGAGAGGAATGAAAGCTCAGGCTCAGGACGGTGGTAAGAGATACGATAGAGACCTGCGTGGTATGTGGTCCAGTCACAGTGATCACTCTCCTTCCCCGCCTCAGTTGGAGATAACTGGATTAGGCCTAAACCCTCAGGGTCAGCCCTTCTGCCTTTCTCCCTCACACCTTCCATCCTTCCCTCAGCAGATCTTGCTGGTTCTGCCTTCAGATTAGGACCACTGCCCACTCCTTGGCCACTGTTGCCTGGCCCAGGTTGCTCGCCGGTGTCCCAGTGCCTCTCCTGCCTGCCCTCTACCTCCCAGTTCATCCTCCACTGTACAGCCAGATGGATCCTGTTAAAAGATTAGTTGGGTCAGGTCACTCCTCTGCTCAAAACCCTCTGATAGCTCCCTCTCCAGGCAAAAGCCAAAATTCTCGCCTCGGACAGAGGTGCATTTACCACCCAGGCCCCTCATTTGCATAGGCCCCCTTCCAAGGCCCAGAGTCAAATTTTTATTTTTATTTTTGACTTATTTTTAAGGATGGCCCCTAAGTTGCATAAGCTTCAGGTCCTCCCAAACCTGAGCCTGTCTGTCCCTCGTGCCTATGAAACCCTATGCAGTCTGGTCCCTGGGCCTCTCTGGCCTTATTTCCCACCCCTTGCCCTTTCTGCTCACTCCGCACTTGCCACACTCACCCCCTTGCCTTCCTCTTTCAGGGCCTTGGTGCTGCTTTATGTGGGAGAGGTAGAGGGGTCTCCCTGATGGCGGAAGATGCCTCTCCCCCAGCCTTGTGGGAGACCGCCAGGTTCTAACTAGTCTTGAAACATCTGCTGGGTATTTAGGAGCCTGGGAGATACACCAGCCTGATTCTCCCTCACTCAAGGACCGTGAGTGCCCAGGCCTGGACCTTTGGAACCCCGGTATCCATCATCACATCTGCTGACCTCAGGCATCCTGTGAGTCTCCCAGCTGAAAATGCCTGCTGCCTGAGATTCCACCATGATCGCTTCCTTCCTTGGAAATGAGCATTACCTTCTCTGGGATTCTCTTTAAAATGTACTCCTTGTTGCATGTGCACACCTACACATACACACACATGCACACATGCAGGAGCACATACTTGTGCATGCACAGGCACACTCACATGCACATACTGTGGGCATGAACACACACACACACACACACACACACACACACACACACGTGGCTCTCTTGTCTGACCTCGCTCAGAAGACAAGGACACATACTCTTTTGAAGCAGCTCCAAGCCAGGACATCCTCTGGGTTAGTGACAATGTTTCTTTTTTCTCCAGAAGGCACCGACCTTGCAGTTCCCAGGACGCTAACCTCATGGCAACAGTCAAGTTTCCCCTCTCCAGGCTAGGCTGGTATCTCAGTATCCTTCTTGTGCCTTGACTTGGGTAGAGAGGGAGAGGTGTCCAGAGAGCATTTCCATCTGGCATTTTGAGAGGGAACTGTGTGGTCCCCGGCTGGGAACCAGGTGAGCCAGGTCCTGTAGGTAGGTCACCTTCCCTGTGGGCCTTTGGGCCAATCACTCCACCTCTCTGGTCCTCCAGAGTCAAATTTGAAACCTTCCCACTGTGCCATCTCCAGAGACTGAGGGGAGCAGGAAACCCAAGCAGAAGGCTTTCCGAAGCTAAGAGCATGGTTCCCTGTGTCTGGGGAGCTTTGAAGGGGCGGGAGGCA